CGCCGTAGCAAGCGTCTCTTGCGCAAGACCGTTCCCTCAACTTCATGTCATCAACTCCAAGGGCCTCAGCTCTAGTCACCGAAAGGCTCTTCAATCACATGCCCGATCTCCTCCACCGAGAACAAAATCCACGACACTCCCGCCTGCCAGGCACGTATCAGCTTGAGAGGAGAGGAGAGGAGAGGAGAGGAGAGGAGAGGAGAGGAGAGGAGAGGAGAGGAAGGTGTAAAGGAGAGACAGTAGATACTCACGACAATCGGGGTGACGAGGAAAGGAGTTGTTGTCTCCACGAGAGCAAAAGGGAGGGTGAGGGAGAAGAGCGTGAAAAACCTGCAAGCATGTCAGAGAGAAGGCAGGCGGAAGGAGGAGAGGAGGATGAAGGGAACAAGAAGAGGAATAGGAAGTGGTGCTGGAGGCGGAGGAGCAGATGGTGGAGGAGGAGGGGAAAGGACGAAGGACGAAGGCGAGGAAGAGAAGGGTTGTCATCGTTGAGAGGAGGCACCTGGAAGTATGGCGGCTGTAGGAAAGAGGGATGGGAGTACACTTGAGCTTTTCGCACTCGGAGATGACCTGAGAGGAAGGGTGAGGAGGAGGGGGGAGGGGAGCGGAAGAATTACATTAGCAAGCCCTGAGATTGAAGTTTCCATCCGATCCCATATTTGTCTGGGGGATCAGGTATGAGCAGGAAGACATTGTGGGCGGCAGAAGAGGACGAGGAGGAAGAGGAGGAAGAGGAGGCAGAGAGGAGGAGTAGGAGTAGGAGGAAGAGGAGGAGGTGGAGGTGGAGGTGGAGGAGAACGTCCAAGACTTCACCCCCTGCTCGCATCCTCTTCCTGCAGCAGGTCTTTGATGGAGCACTGTATAAACTCGTCAGAAGAACAACCTTGGATGCAAACAAGAGAGACGCTCTGACCGACAATGAAGTGAGAAGCGTGACAGGCATGTTGTTTGCTCCCATGATGCTGAAAAGAAGCATCACCACCACTACCGCCAGCACTGTCATCGTCATCACCATCACCATCACCATCACCATCACCATCACCATCATCACCACTCATCAATCGTTGTCGTCATCGTCTTCTTCTTCAACATTATCAAAAGAAGCTCTCGATATGACGACAACAAGTGTAGCAGCTTCGTCCTCCTCACCTGTCGATCGTGTCGTACCAAAACGTGCTCCTGCTTCTCTTCACGTCGAAGGTTTCAAAAACCACCTGTTGCCCCGTCACCCGCCCATCCCAGACGCCCTTCCCGCCTCCACCTCCAGCTCCACAGGGTTTCGTTCCCCTCTCAGTGCTGCTTGAGGGCAACAGGAAGCGCTGACAAGTGAGCCAGCACCTGCGCGCGAGTCAGAAGGGGAAGGAGGAGGAGGGGAAGGAGGAGGAGGGGAAGGGGGAGGAGGGGAAGGGGGAGGAGGGGAAGGGGGGGGAGGGGAAGGGGGAGGAGGGGAAGGAGGAGGAGGGGAAGGAGGGGGAGTAGCGGTCCCAGCACCTCGTCGAGCCGCTGACCCTCGAAGTTTGACACAGCGATTCTCGTGAGAGATCTGCTCCTGCTGTCAATCCGACGGCCAATTCTCTGACCCCCCCTCAGAGCAGCCCTCGTCATCCTCCCTTGCTCCTGCCTGCCTGCCTGCCTGCCTGCCTGCCTGCTTCAGGTCTCCGAGTTGGAGCTCTCCTCCTCTAACTATCTCCCCCGATCTTTCAAAGTCCTCCTCGATCGCATCTTCCTTCACCTCAGTTCTCCAGCAAGAGTTGCCCACTGCTGTCTGCCTTCCCAGAAGCGATCGTACGCCTGTCAAACCACAGGCTCAATTTTCACCCCGACGCGACAACCAGCGTCCGCATCACAGTTCTCTTCTTCGCATCCTCCCCTCATCGCCATCTCACTGTCGCCAGTCTGCCCACCTGATCTGTCCTGAAGACAAGCAGAATGGCGAGAAATCCCCCGACGAGCTCGTGGGGCCACCTGTCCATCAGCTGGTGAGACAAGAAGGCGGCGCAGCAGTACGAGAAGTACCCGGGGACCTCGAAGATTTCTTGAATCCTCCACTCTTGAGGAGACAGCGAGAAGAACACAGCAACTAATCCTCTTTCAGCGACTTGCACATCCTATCGACCCACTCCATCTCACCTGCACTGGCCCAGAGCGTCGATATGGCGAGCCGACCAGAAATCTGAGAAGACCAACAAAAATCACGTGGACCCAGAGCATAACGCGGGAACATGTACATACACCATCACCATCAGGTGCATGGGACACATGTACACAAATCAGAAAAAAGTCTGACTTTGCTCAAGACCCTCGATCTTCCTGTTGTCATGATGTCGCTGACCCAGTTTGACCTGCGACCAACAGCCATCAAAACTCAAGCTCCTCCTCCTCCTCTTCCTCCGACCTTGCGTTCCGCAGCTCCTTCCCCCACAGTTGCAGCCCATCGTCAGTGGTCAAGTCTTCTACCTGCAGCATGCAGTGAGACTCTAGAGCGAAAGCTTCACTCCTTCAGCTCATGCCCACCAGGAAGAGCGTCGATGTTGCCCTGGTCGACCTTGCCACTCCTGTCACCTCCTCCCACTTGACACACAGCTCGTGCAGACCTGACGAACTTGTCGGGGTTGTCTTGCTGAGTTTGTACAACCATCTTGGTCTCATGACGATGCTGCGATAGCCTGAGACGACAGAGTCATGGCAAGAAGGTCAAGGGAGCTCCAATAAGAACCTGACGGCATCCCGCCGACGAGCAGTCTGTTGGCAAAGCATGCGCTCATTCCTTGTGCTGTGTTTGCCGAAGATGAGCTGATTCACTCAAAGAGACTCGGCTGGTACATCTACCTTGCTGGGGTGAGGTGAGATGGTGGAAGGTGGCTGAATGACCAGGCGACGGCAGCCTGATGGGCAGCCAGGGCTATCTTCTGAGAGCGAAGAGCTAAGGCAGGGGGTTCAAGTCAAGTCAATCTCACCAGAATCAGCTTGAATGTCATCGGAAGGGTGGAACGTGTCGATGCAGGCAGTTGGATGCAGTCAGGGAAATCCTCTGCCCTCTGGCATACCTCCCCCAATCCAATTGAATCCTCGTCCAAGAGCGAGTGAGAGCCTTCCTGCAGCACACACTGCTCAGCTTACAATCAGATGATCAAAATGCATCTGGAAATCACAAGGGCACGGTGAGCTAAACTTTCTGTTTGCTTGCCACCCATAGGTACGTATGCGAATCAACATCTTACTTTCAATCCAGCACTCCCGTTCCCTACATCTTCATTCCCATACCTTGAGCGAATCTCTCTCAATGGTCTGAAATTATCCACAGAAGGATGAAACCAGTTCCTTTGACCTCACTTCCATTCCCAGTCTCTTTCCCACTCATCCTGCCCCTTCCGACATGTCGGCTTTTTCAAGACGGTGTTGCAGTTGGACACTGGCACCGTCTGTACTTCATTCATCCCTTGTTTCTCTTTTCCTCTACCTTCCTCTATCTCCATCCTATCCTTCTCTCCCCTCCTTCCCCTCCCTCTCCCCTCCTTCCTCTCCTCCTCCTCCGTTGTCTCCACTCCCTGCGCTTCACACCAACTTTGCTCCTCTTATATCCCGTGAGAACAGTTCCCCTAACCCCTATTTTGAAAATATCTATCCCTATCTACCCGTGCTTTTTACTTTAAGTACCCACCCCTAAGTCCACCCCCACCCCAAGAGATCATCTACACGGCCCCGTCCCTGCCTGCAAGAGGAGAGTCGCAAAGTAGTTCGCGAAGTTGGTGTGTAGGTGGCGGCGATGGCGAGGAGGGAGGGACTGGCGAGGAGGGAGGGACTGGCGAGGAGGGAGGGACTGGCGAGCAAGAGCAAGGCAGGCCTTGTGTCAATGTGATGAGATGATGTGTGGTTGAAGATGTTATGGTGGGAATAATCGCACAGTCTCACAGAATTTCTTGCAGCGATCCTGGGTGCACTGATTTCGGGAATACCGTCTAGTCTTGTTGAGCATCCAAGAAGTGACATTCTCTCTTGTTGTGAGGTACTGAAGCCATCTTGTCTTCGAGACATTGAGGTGTTTCATCTTGCTATGTGTATGTTTCTGTAAATGTATGTTCAATCGCTTCTCCGACCTAGTGAGGCATCCTTGCTTGTGAATTTGCAACTGTTGCAGCACATACATGGTTGAGGGTTTGGACATGTAGAGACACAATGTGAGGATGATTTAATTGAGCAGACAGACGCACCATCTATCATAGGCAGGCAAAGAGGACCGGACAACGACTTCTTCGTTCTGCACCGATTCACATTTTCGAAACCTTAAAGGCCCAGGTGGTCGCCGAGCTCGTAGAACAAAAAATCTCTTCCCATGTCAACCACTACGATCGTGATCACCTGCAGAGCAGAAGCGTCAAGAGAACATCTCATAATAAAAGTGTCATCAAGACCGTTCTGCAAACGTGATCCCTGGTTGGCGAGCTTTGACTGCGTTGGTCTTCCACATCCAGGCTCGAGCTCTCCCCACTGCTGAACAGCTCGAAGCGGCTTCGATATTTCATCCGCAGAGAGGACAAGGCCTGACCCAGCCACGTGCTGCTCAGCTTGCAAGACGAGCTCACCGGGATTGTGATGTGCAACGTACAGTCGTCTTGTTGCTCCCTCCTCCTGCGCTTCAGGTTCTTGCCCCCCGAGCTTCCGCTCTCCGACTTTGTTCGAGTCTTTGAGGAGGACGGCGGGTACCATGTCACAACCGACGGCAGTGAGCGACAGGCCGCGCATGTCCGGGCGCTCTGACCGAACAGAACGTGGGTTATTCCCTCTTGAGTGCTGCCTCGCTCTAAAACTCTCAGTCAGAACTCCTAAGTCAAAGACGCTGCCACCACCACCTGCAAAGTCATACCCACGAGTGTTCAGCAGGTAGGAGATGGTTTCTTCAGCCATCGCAAGAGATTTCGCGGCCCCGTCCGGTTGACAAGGAGGAACCACGGCTGATACCGCTGAGTCTGTTGCAAGATCCATGGCTCCTGTCACGCTCCACCACGTACATGGATCATGCAATGATGCTGATATGAGATCAAGGCATCCGCTTCCTCCTCCTCCCCCAACGTCTTTGTTTGCTTGTTCCTCCCTCCCCCGCTTCCCCTGACCATGCGTCCGAACCGCGGGAGATGCGAAGACAGCAGATTTACATGGCTAGCAGAATGATAGAAGACCATTGCTGCCCCAAGAACTGCAAATAGGCATCATACTTGATGAGGGTGGGTACTACTTTAGTATCCCTCGATACCGGTTATTTCCTAGACAAATACATGGGTACACTGTGAAACTTTGGGGGTGGGGTAGGCAAGGATAGCGATTCGGCTCTTCATGATGCATACCAAGGTGCGGGCGGCGTCCGATGCTAATAAGCGATACACGATGCGAGATCTGTTGATATCCCAATGTCGTTTGTTGCTGATATCCCAATGTCGTTTGTTGCTGATATCCCAATGTCGTTTGTTGCTGATATCACAATGTCGTTTGTTGCTGATATCACAATGTCGTTTGTTGCTGATATCCCAATGTCTTATGTTGTTGACATCTCAATGTCTTGTTGTTGATATCTCGATATCTTAGATTGTTGATGTCTCAATGTCTTATCTTGCTGCCTCTCTCGCTCATTCAGTTCCTCGGTATGTATGTGTCTCCCCTAACGTACATGCTTGGATGCATGCCTTTGTTTCAACCCGCACTCGAATGTGGTACATTCGACTCAGCATTCCGTTTCCCCCTGATAAACATGATGAATATCTTCAATCTCGCTTCAATCTTGTTGGTAAATCCGCCGTTCCTCTCATTTGTAAAGCTGTCTCGAGGAAAGAGCATCTATGTAAAATTTGCAGCTGCAACGTATCTGATTTTTTTAAACCCACTAGCTCGCCGTGTGGTTTGGAGCTCTGCTTTCCAGTGGGGTGTTGGTGGCTCTAGTGGTTATGGGCCGATCGCCAACGGCATTGCTACAGGTGAAGGGGGGACAAATTCGATTTGTCATATCCTCCTTTTCTCCCTCTCCCCTTCCTGTCTCCTTGTTTTCATCACTCCCACCCTCCTGTCCCTACAATGATCATATTTCCTCTCAATCCTTCATCCTACTGCTCGCCCTGCTCCTCCGTACTCAGCAGTGACACTGAGGCCAGGGAGGAGCGCTGAGAGATCGCTTTGGGTTTGTAGATCGAAACTCTGTGAGTCCTTGAGATGCATTGTATTCATTTTCTCATGGTGTGATAGGATCCGGCAATGTCCAGGATGAACAAGATTGTGAAGAGCATGAGATTATCGTGATGCAGCGCAATGCTAGCATGTTTCTCTCTGACGCCCGGATGCAGACAAGAAAACCGGGACATGTCTCATACTGGTAACGACCAATGGAGCAGATACAAAGATTATCAGTGAGTCTTCGAGGCCCTCCGTCGGCGTGTGACGTGTACCAGGGAAGAGAGCGCGATCAAGAAGCTTAGATACGACATGGAGCGACAGAAGAGGATCATGAGTACCATCCTGCAGGTGAACGGAGCCTATCTGTTTGCCATGCCTCTGACTCGCAAGTTCTGCAGAAGCCCACAGCTCCTGTTCCCTTCACCTCCACAGGATTTTTCAAGTGAAGCTCCCGCAACGGGCAAGGCCCTGGATCTGCTGTCCCCGCATCCCTACTCGCATACCTTGGTTCTTGTTCGACTCTCTCCTGTCTGCCCTGATCCCTCCTCCTCGTCCTCTCCTTCAACAAACAGCGCGTTGTTTGATTCTGTTTGTTCGATTCATGTCTTACAGCCCAATGAAACTTCCTCTCTCAGTCTCTCGATTCACAGCTTTGTTGTCAATAAAATCACAAGAGTCATTCTTGCATGGTGTAACCACGTGCGCGGACCAAATCTCATCCTTCATATGACAACCAGCATTGACTGCATTGCAGTCACAAGACAGCAGGTTCGTCCAAAATTCGAAATACTGTTTTATCACTATTTGAAATGTGAGGCAAATAATTGAGTATGGGAGGGACACATTTTGCCCCGAAAGGTTATTATGATGCTGCGGATAAGATGTTGTAATTTCAACAAGAAGGGACAGGGAACGTGAGGGGAGGAAGAAGAGGAGGAGAGGAGGAATGAAGCAAGAACAAGAAGCCCCCCAGACTGTGTTCGATACCTCCTCTCCTCGCATGTTTGACTTGTAGATAGATCTTGCGGTCAGGGAGCCCCCGGGTGTGACGTTGATGCTGGCAGGCGAAACGATCTTGAGCGACGTCCAACGCCTGTGATGGGTCAAGACTACAGCGTGTGCTGCGGTCATGATTTTCCCTCCCTGCACCTTTCAGCGGTAATGTCCCTGTTTTGCTCTGGTTGCGCTCCGTGCTGACACAACGTGGATCAGCCGCTTCCCATACACGCAGCTGTAGAAAGGCAAAATCACGCAGAGCTGAGACAGATTCTTAACCATGAGGCGATGGATGTCAACATCAACCAGCAAGACCACAACGGGAACGCGCCATTACACCTGGCGGCGCTCCTCGGCGACATGAAGTCTTGCTCGTACTTGCTGCAGTATGGCGCAAAGGTCTTGATTCGAAATCGCGATGGGCACAGCCCGAGCCAGCTGGCGTTCCAGCAGAAGCACATGCAGTGCTTCAACTACCTCAAACGTGCTGAGACCATCTTGCACGCGGGTAAGAGCTCCTCCTTCACCACCGTCAACGCCGTGCCCCGCGACCACATCACGTACAAGCAACTTGAGAAGCGCGAGGTGCACGGAAACGGGGCAGAGCCGGAGGCTAATCCTCAACATGGTCTTGGGGAGGCTGAAGGGGGAGGGGGAGGGGGAGGAGGGGTGTGTGGAGAGGTTTCTATCTCTCTCAAGCAACATCTCAACTATGCGACGAACCCACCTGAGGCTGAGGCCAAGGCTCCTCTGATAGCCTCGATTGCCCGGGACAACTCGACCGTTGGGCAAGCATCAAGAGCTGCTGGCAGAGAAAGAGATCCCCGCGCCATCTCCCCGGATCCTGATCCTCAGTTCGAGATTTTCAGAGCATATCATGTTCATGCAGATTGAAGCGTTCGGATAGGAAGAGGACATCTTTGAAGTTTTAATTGTTGATAAGCCTCCTAGAAGTTGTAAACATATGAATCTTGCGAAGCTCTTGCTCCACCATGATTTGCTTCCGCCTCTATCAAGGATTCGTCATGGTCATCGCAACGGAAAAGGTGACTAAAAGCAAGCAGGAAAGCACCTGCTCCTCGTGAAGCTCGTAACGCTGGTTTTCAGAGAGGAAGGCCCATTCCGAGTACTAGACTCACACTGTCAGTGTGCTTGTAGGGCATGCCAACTCAAACCTGCTGCAGAAGGGAGACATAGCCGTCCAGCTCGAAAGGGTCCCGGACGTTCACATCTACCTGCTGCTCGAAAGATGATCAAGACCGACTCTGGAGGCTCCTGCTTTTTTACCCTCCCACTTGGAAGAACAAAACGACAATGTTGCCTGGTCGCCTCAAGCTCTCCGATGCACCTTTGTCATGTCAATCGACCTCGCGACCGACCTCTCTCACGATAGTCGCACCTATCCCGAAAGACAGCCCTCACTCTGCCATCGCTGGAGATGAAGTCAGGCTAAAGTGAGAGAACACAAGTAGGCAAGGACCAAAACGCGGTGAACCTTCCAATGCCATCTACCTCTGATTCGCAATGCACATCAGAGGAGTATTCGATCTTGAGCTTGCTTGACGTGGTAGCGGTCTCTTTTCTTGAGTTCCAGCTTTTGATTGACGTACCAAGTTGAGAAGAAACACAAGCATTGCTGGCAAAATATTTCTTATGTTCCAGCAGTAAGTTGCTAGCACGAAGCAAAATGTCCAGTTGGATCTCCCGCGGGAGAGCAGCTTTTACAGCCTCGATGTCATGTTCCTCCAGAGAGAAATCTTTGTACTTGTTTGCAAGATGACAGATGTTCCCCACGTATGTTGATACAGTTGTCAAGCCAACGATCTCTTGCAAGAATTCTCCACATTCTGTGAGAATGAAAGTCTTCGAGCTCTCAAAACAAGTAATCTCTACGATTTTCTTGTTGTCTGGGAAACACAATAAGAAAGACAAATGAAAAATCCAAACTTTTCGCAACCTAGATACCGCAGGAGGTAGTCGGGGGTCCACTCAACCTTCGACAACAAGCTGCAACCTTGAAATCTAGCACTTCTCTACAATAAGTGTTGTCTGTATCATAAGAAGAAAAATTACGCTGAGAGCAGGGAGTTGTCCCGAAACATGCCCGTTGATTCAGATGCAGTTGTGCTGATTTCTTGGACCTTAGAAAGTAGAGATTTCAGACCTAAATTCTTTGACTGGCTGCTCATATGAATTACCTGTTGCGGCATAGACGACATCCATTTTGAGTCCCAAGTCTTCTCACAAGAATCATCTGCTACATTCAAGCTCTCAAAGAACACGAATATTCACTCAAGCAAGCTACGTTGCTTATTCTGCTTGAAAATGTTGATAGCAAGATTCAAGACATCTTGCCAGCATTGAGGATATTCTCCTGCTTCTGTAGAGAAAGATCGAATTATCCACATATGATCTACTTTCTTCGTTTGGTACATATCTTCACTGAAGACCAAAATCACATCGTTTGTTCGAAAGATCAGGAAGATACCATCTTCTGTTTGCAATTTGTTTAGAACTGACTACCGGGAATGGCAATGGTGATGCATAGTACACAGTGAACGTTCTTGAGTTTGAGTAGAACAAGTCAGCGTCCGGCATCTCTTTCACAGTGATCAACTGACCTGAGGTTAGAAGATAACACTATTCTTCCCATTTTGTCAGCTGATGAAAGAGACAGAGAGCCATCCTGCAGGATTTCTACAAATTGATCATAATCTCTCGTTCTCCAATGATGCATCTGAATAGCCGTTGACGCCTTTTCAAACCGAATCAGCGACAGGAAAAACTTGCGGAAAGCTCAAGCGACCTCAAAGATAACGTGCAGATCCGAGTCAAAGACTACTTCAGGGCACAAGCGCGGCTCTGCTGAAGAGTAGAAGTTCCGGAAGTCGACAGCTGAACGGAGCTTGCATGCTGCTTAGAGAGCGTCGAGCTAGAGGTCAGTTGGCACACCTTAGAGCGGGTCGTCGATGTTGAGAACCTTGACAGGTGGCTCCTCCTCCTTCCATTCGAGTCCTGCAGGCACCGCATGAGTGCAGGGCTCTGCCGTCAAGCGCAAGGATGACCTCGATGACAAACCTCGAACCAAGCGGATGGAGCATCAGCTGAGAGCAGCGTCACTGCCAGCCTCTCTCCCCACATGCAGACGCGACACTCACGGCCTCATGATCTGAGAACCTCAGCAGGACGGTCCCATCTCTGAGCAGAGATCCCCATTCAAGACTGTAGTCATGATCAGTGCTGTCGGCATTTGCAGCTCCCCTATCACCCAGCAGCTTCTTTGTCGCCCTTGGTGCTAGACGGGGGTTGCTGATGCATGGTAGGAAGGGTTTGATGGAAATGCGTGTGAGGATTCAGCCCTGTTACAAGATGTTGCGGTCACGACTTCGCCATACAGCAATGGCGACATCTCAAACACGAGAATCCGAGAGCATGAGCTTATCAGTGCGAGCAGGCAGGGAACAACAGGCAAGCGATTGAATCCAGAGGGTATGGGGTAAGGCTATGGGAACGAAAGGAGGAAACGAGGAAAGCAATTGAGGCAACAGGAAAGCAGTGGAGACAATCTCTGCTCAGACGACAGAAGGGAAGGAGGTAAGACAGGAGGGAAGCGGATGAAACGATCTTCCAGGCGACATGGGCCGACGCGTCTCCTTGCATCACCTGCCGGTGCCTGTCCCGGACTTCGCGCCATTTCTTCGCTCAACTCCCTCGACCTGGTAGTGCGAGCAAGCCGCCCTCAGAGTCCTCACTCTCAGTGGCAGCTCAGTGTCGGCTGTCGGGCGACTCACCCAGCCCCGAAGACTACCCCTACCCCCAATTTTGATTGGATATGGTGGGTAGTCACGAGGGAGTCGCTGGAGTACAGGAATGAGCGTTGCCGTTTGGTTGGGACGCGAGCAAGAGGAGGCGAGATGGGGGGGAGAGGACGACGAGGAGAAGAGAAGAGGAGGAGAAGAGGAAGTGAGGAGATGAAGCAGCGGGGATGCGGTAGGGAGGGAGAGGGGGGAGCTGATTCAGACCGGTCGAAAAGATAACATCGCTTCCAGTGGCAAAGGAGACGAAGAAGAAGAGACAATCTCCTTGGATGATTTGTTGGCTTCATTTCTTGTGCAGTCTGTACGCATCATCGTGAACAAACTGTCAACATCCTTTAGCTATCCCGTGTCAACGCTTTGATTGTAAATCTGGAAAACTAAAATCTTGAGATGAAGTCGGTCCAAGAGACGCCGAAGAGGCTTGGCTTCCTAAATCAAGCTCAATTCATCTTACAGCAGCAAGAGCGGGTCCTCAACAATGTCGTCAGTTCATTAGGCTTCAACCGGGCAAGCTCGTCTGACTCGTCTGTGATACCAGCGACGCCAAGTTCATCGAAAGAAAACGATGTCGAATATCTTCTAGATCAGTATGACGCCTTTGCTTCATGCGGGAAGGACATCACGACGTGGTTTGACAACATTGACTTCGACTCCAGTGCAGACTTGACAAGGGAAGAGTTCAAAAAGTATCTTAACCAGAATGCCAAGATCCTCAACGACGCGGAGATCGGGGTTCTGTTCGACTACTTCGATTCAAACAAGAACAACTCTATCGATTTCAAGGAGTTCATCGAGTGTTTGAAGAGGAGGCGATATCTGCGTCGTCTGGCTCACTTCCTCGACAAACTACCGTTGGGTCAGATCATTGCCGAGCAGGTCGCAGGCGACTTCTCAGTGGACGATGACCCGATAGAGAGTTTGAGGCGCCGGTCCAAGGGAGACCTTGCTGAGTCCATGGCTGGTTTGGGAGCTGTGATAGCTGAGAAGATCCAAGGCAGAATGACGGACTACTACGAGGAGAGGAGGAAAGGGTGGCAGACAGGGAAGTTGAACACCTCCAAGTTCCTGGCCAACGATGAACAGAACGCAGAAGGAATCTTTCTCGAGTCAGATACCTTCCTGGAGGGGATTGATAACATGATCGGCTTGCCGAACAAAGATGTGTTTGAGGCGATGAAGGCAGAACACAACGTACACGATGTGTTCTGTGCGGGGCACTTGAAGGATACCACGACTCCCTTGAACGAGTGGAAGTTTGTGGTGGATCCTGACCCTACGTCGACCTACTCGGGGGAGGGAGAGGGTGCTGACTGCAGGACGAGGATAAGCCTCGGGGAGCTGATGGAGAGAGACGAGTACAAGAGCTCGAAGCTCACCAAGGAAGAGCTCATTGGCCTCAGGCTTTACACAGGACCGATGTATATGCTGTACAACGAGTCGCTGAGGTGTCCTGGTTTTCACCTCCTCCTTATGTCCTGACTCGACGAATCTGCAGGGATTACCTCAGCAAGCACAAGAGCTCCAGTCCCTCCAGGTGATGAGCTGCGCTGCCGTGTGTGGAGGGGTCTGACACAGCAGTGCCGGAACACAGACGAAGTGTGAGGAAGAAAATGAACTATGTCACCACAATTCGAATGATAGCGTCGGGGATTCTCAAACTTTCGAAGCTCTCCTCTCTCCCGCCAAATCGCAAGGTGTACAGAGGGCTCGCCAACGTGAAGCTCCCTGTCTTCATGGTATCTTCGGACCATCTCGGGTTCCGGGGAGCGGTTGAGCCTGCCTTCATGTCGACGACTACAAGAAAGGAAGTAGCGATCCAGTACCTTCAGCTCAAACATGATGTCTCCCCGAAGATCCTCGAGATGGAGGTCGGGCAGATCGACCGAGGAGCAGATGTGAGTGCGAGAGGAGCATCGGCGAATCCTTGGCTAACTTTGCTGGGGCAGGTGGCCTGGTTGTCCCAGTACCCGGCAGAGAACGAGATCCTGTATCCTCCCCTGTCCAACCTGGAGATCATCGGCCCTCTGAGGACAGAGCTGATCCAGACGAATGAGGTGATCATGATCTCAGTGCGGGTCAACATCAACCTGAAGAGCACGGCCCGGGAGTACGTGGAGGGGAAGCGCAAGTTCCTCTACTTGCAGTCGCTGGACTTTGTGGTCCAGGAGATCGAGAGAGATCTGCATGCCCAGGTGGAGGACCTGCCGAGCGCAGACAGGTTCTTCAGGGACCAGGAGAACAGCAAGAAAGTCATCGACCAGATCCTCCAGGAGTGCTGCGACTTCAGGGTGGCACACGAGCAGAAGCCGGTGGCATCTTTCAACATGGAGATTTTCTTCCGGCAGAAGGTCGACGAGCTCTCTCACCTGCACTCGGCGGCCATGAGCAAGCTGCACTTCTGGAAGCACACCAAGGGAGTGACGCCAGCAAACATCAGTGAGATGTCGCTCTTCGACGTCCGGATGCTCATCGCAGGGAACATGTGGGAGGATTATTACACGAAGAAGGCGTCTCGGGCCGACGAAGACGAGGTCCGGCGAGCGGCTCTGAATGTCTGCCGCTTCTTGGGTTACAAGGTTGAAGATGAAATCTCGGGTGAGGAATGCTCTGAGGTCGACCGAAGCTCGCTGCTCGCAGCTGCGTCCTCTGGGGACAAGCGCATGGTTGGGGTTCTTCTTGACTCTGGCTGCAACGTTAGCATTGCCAACGACGAGCACACTGCGATCTCGCTGACTGCGCAGAACGGGCACGTGGCTTGCATGCAGCTGCTGATCGACAGGCAGGCAGACATTCACTTCCGCAGCTCGAAGGGCGAGACTCCTCTCATGCTCGCCTGCAAGTTCGGGCGCCTGGCCTGTGCGAAGTTACTCATCGAGAACTTGCAGAAGCGCGGGGAGCTTAACCGCCTGGCAGACAAAGACGAGAAGGGGAGAACGTGCCTTCACCTTGCCGCAGACAACGATCAAGTCAGCGTGATCGAGGAGCTCTGCCGGCATGCTGCAGTTCCTGACTTCTTCGCGGCTGTGGCTTTCGAGAGCCAGAAGACCTGCTTGCACTATGCCGCAGGACGAGGGCACCTCAGGGTTGTCAGCTTGCTGCTGTCATCGCATCCCGAGCTGGCTACCATCACAGACAAGAAAGGGAGGACGGCAGAGACGTTTGCTAGAGAACTTTCTCACATGGAAGTCGCCGAATTCCTGAGAAATGCTGAAGTAACTGGTGCTGATGCAGCCGGTTGAACCGCAGGCTACCGTGGCTCGGCGCCGGGGCGCGGCGCGGGGCCGCACGCGGCCCGGCACTGAACTTGAAGGGGCCGGGCGGCGGTCGACCGTGACGGGCCGGGCCGCTGCCACTGCGGCCAGGGCAGTCACGGTACTGTAAGTAATGAATGAATGAAGACTAAAAAATCTTTCAACTTGTGACTTGATGTCCGATCCGACCATGCAGGCCCCGGCGCCGTACGGTACGCCGGGTCACGGGCCCTACTAAGTACTGAGCCTTCGCGGCAGGCTCCAGGCTCCTGCCAGACTCACTGATGAGCCGGGCGCCGGGCCGGGCAGCCTGGTACGGTCAGCCGCGCCGATCGGACCGTACCGGACGCCGTGTCGGCGGCTTTCCAAGGCCGCCACTCATCATTGCCGCTCGACTCGTCGACCGGCGGTCAGGGAGCCTCCCGAGTCCCGGGACGGTCGGTGACACTCAGCCCGGTCGCCAGGAGTCCGCCGGGCGGCCGGGACAGACGCGACGGCGGTGTCGGAGTAACATGATACTACTGATTTTTAACTCAAATGGTTAGTTCTTGTGCCTGAGGCTGGCCGGGCCGCGCACCGTGAGTGCAGTGCGGCAACTTGACAGTGACTTGATCGCCGGACGGTTGTCGCCAGGCATTCCGGCGCCCAGCCGCCCGGGCCGGGCCTGGCCGGGCCCCTCGCCCGATCGTCGAAGACATGCCATGGAAGGCTGACTTTTCGCGTCAAGACGTCGCGGCCTCCTACTGTCTCCTTCGCTGCCCTACCTCCATATCTCGTCACATGGGGAGGGGTGGGGTCAGCAGGGGTCTACGCCAGGTCGCATTTTGGGTCATCAGGTAACGTGACCTAGATACTCTTAGCTCGAAAAGAAGTCTTATGAGTGGAATTCTGACTGAAGGATGACCGGAGTTTTTTTTACTCCAGTAGTGGTGTTCGAAAGCGATAAACCTAGCACAACAAACAGGAGGAACTAGAAGGCAAAGAGAGAAGAATCAAAGTCTATAAGCTCAAAGAAACAGAAGAGAATAAGGAGGGGCAAGCTTTTGCAGAGATTTCTATACATCAACGGGTTGAAAATGGAGAACACGAGAATAAGTAAGGGAAAGGTGGAAGAATTTGTAGCCGGACTTCCCATGCATCTCTTATGTCGACGTGGACGAATCGTGCTCGAGAACACAGAACCTTTCTTTATCATCAGTGTCGATGGACCTGCATCTGCTCTCCTTTATAAATCATCGTCAGCACTCAGTGGCCGTCGCTTGAAGTCGATCGATACCGAGCTGAATGGGGAGCAGAAGCTTATAGCCGCTGCTGGTTTGGCACGCAGCTCAGGACGACGCGTATTCCTCACGATGGCAAGATCATGTAAGAAAGAAGACTTGATTTTCACTTTTCAGTCGTGCTTGTCCTCGGTGGGCGACAAAAGAATGGAGATCCTCCTATTTCCGATGGACGATAGAAACAAAATGAGCATCCCTTACCCAAGAGTTGATGGTGAACCGGAGGAATCCTGTTCGAAGCATGAGTCACAGATAAACAGAGCTTCAGGGAGAGACAGTCCCGACAAGGACCTCGGAATATCAGACGAAGAGATGATGGATTCCCACAGTGGGGACGAGGCAGCCTTTGATTATGCGGAACAGTTCTCAGCTGGGCTTACAATTCCGTGCAAAACTATCTGATACGATCAGGATTTCTCTATGATGCCTTAATCTCGGTCAAGTTACATATGCATGATGTATGCCAGATCCAAGGAAAATAAAAAAAAGCATGTACAGGCAGAAAGTAGTTGTTTTACATCAACTAGAGCAATACCCCTCGCAGTCTACTGAGATTTCTGCTACGTAGTCAAACTCTCTTTCATCACCTTCTAACTCGCAGACTTCTTCATCCGAAATCCACAAGCACAAGTCCGGGCTGTCTCTTTCATCGGTTCGATGCTCTCCACGGCTCGCAGGCGAAGGGTCGCGATCTATTTCCACCACTGGTTCCGCCAAGTCAAGATCACAATCAGCTGGCATCGGAAATAGCAGAATCTCAAGTCTTCCATCCCCAACCAAGTGAGGACTTGGCTGGAATGCTACCATTAACGTGGGTTTCCCTTGCCTTGGAAGAGTCAAGAACGTCTTGCTCGATGGATTCCTCCTTGTGAGCTTTGCCGCTTCATACATCTGGTTGCTTCGATCACTATCCCAGTTCACAGACTTGACCATACGTCCAACTACAGCAGACGAAGACTTGCCGAGAAGCGCAGTTCCAGGTCCGTCAATACTAACAATGAAGAAGGGCTCATTTGCCTCAACCGTCAGTCTTCCACGCTTCGCAAGCACCTCAATCGGAAACTGTTGAATGGTACGACTGACGTCCCATGCTTGATCCCCTCGTTCATTGACCTTGGACCCCGTGTAATTCAAGTCTGTCTGTGCTTGAGCATCGCCTTTTGCACTCTCTGGACACAAAGCTGAATCCAGCGCTCTTCTTAATGGCACGCAGTTGAATGAACCATGTTTCTTCACTGGGGAGACCTTACGATAAGTTGGTTTTGCTTCAAAATTGTTTTCAGAACGGAATCTGAATCCAGATGTGATCTCTTTTATCCTCGATCGGTTCTCTAGATGTTTGAAAGGAGGCGGGGGGTAAGAACTTTGACATTTCTCCGGCATCGAAGCGAAGGAATGCCTCGTCTCTGTGCCAGTATGCAACATGTGACTAAACAGCTGTCAAGATTGACTCCCAGATTAGCAGGTAAGCAACCAGCCAGGAAAACTGACCCACCTAAGACTACTCCAGGGTCTGTTCGAGAGGGCTAGAAAGAATACAACACGCAACCACTGCAGCACAATGCTGAGCGGAGAGGGCAAGGCAGAGCAGTCAGACACTGCGGGCTGTAAGGCCGGTAGCGAGCAGGAGCTTAAGACCGCCAAGGGCTAGCACAAGACTGGCGGGGTGCAGGGAAGGCGATCACAAGACTGGCTGTCGGGAGATCGGCTGCTTCAACGCCATGATCTTGGCTACCCGAGCTACCTCTCGGAGTGGGTCAGGGGATCCACCCTGACGAATCCCCTGACCCACCCTACCCTACCTTGTCATGGGCCAATTGGGAAGACCGACGGGTGGTTGTATTCCATGTTCCCTCTGAGAAGTTCTGCTGCCCTTCAAAAGCTCGTATTGGAATTTTCTTCAAAATCCGAAATGGTTTTGAGTGTAGGGAAAATATGTGGTATATTTGAAACTTCACGAGAGGAGCGACTGTACATTTCGACCCCCATAATAGTTGCTTCAAGAACTTATGGATAATTGTCCTACTTCTCCTGAACCGTTGCGATACGTAGCGCACGGCCACCAGTATAAACCACCCGATAATCGAGCCTCAGAACTGGGGTCCTCCATTTCACGGATGCCACTGTACAATTGTAGTAATAATCCAACACTTTCTTTTTCAATTTTTGAGACCATTAACTCCTGTCTTTAAAACATTGTATGGGAACAGAAGTGTCAGCCAATAATTTTTAGTACCAATTTTACAGCTCAAGGTCTGACCCGTGCCAAATAAAAACTGAAGCATTTTTAGCTTGCTGACATCCCCGTACACTCACGGATATGAGGAAAGAGTACCAGGGTCGCTGGCAGACCAAATGAGCACGGCTCGCCGGATAGGGCCCGGGGCCCGTCTCTCCCGGGCGATCACTACTGCCCGGGAGCCCCGGGCCATTGTTGCACTTTTACTCAAAGTTAAGTGAAAAATTCACTACAGCACTGATGCCGGGGATACAACCGGACGCAGAGGGACGTGACGCGGGGATGGGAGGCTATCCGGCTGATATGGCTGGACGATGATGGAGGCTGAGCAACGAGCAGAGGAACGAGCGCAGATAGTGACTCACACGAACTACGGTGCATCGAGAGGGGACATGGTGGAAGGAAGGGTGTGTCAAGGGAGGCCTGGGGAATGGGGGGATTCGTTTCGGATGTCAAGAAACATGGGAGGGTCCTTTAGGACTTTACAGGGAACAAAATCAAATTGCAGAGGAAGAACACGTGCGTATATGCTTGCAAGAATGAAGGGCCTGACACTCACGATCCAAACAATGCTGATATGACGGCGACATTGTTTTGACCTGTGCTCCATTGCTCCATTGGGTTAATATGAGTGTTTGACACTTTCTTTCCCTATTGTAGGCCTTGATGTCGCCTGCTTGGTTAGTTTGTTGAGGCCGGACGTGGTTGAAACAACCTCTCCCACCTCACACTTGCGACCATGGCGTGCTTGAGCAGCGAATTGCAGAGGTCGAGGTGTGCCAAACCTATCTGAGTTGGACCCATAGGGACTGAGGGCTGTAGGTTCATTAAACTGGTGGCATCCCTCCTCTTTACACTCGTGGCTCTCTTGAATTTTGTATCGATTGGAGCTTTAACCTGGTTCAGGTCGTGACTTTGTTTCTTCAAGTAGTGAAGACTCATCTCTCTGCAGAGTTGAACAAACACTTTACTTTGGAGATCGGACATTTATCCCGCAGTCGTTCACGATCTTCAGCGCAGAGGACTATTCTGTGCATGGAGTCGTCAAGTATGAAGACATGATTCAGATATGTAAACATTGCTTTCTGACGACCATCGAACGCACTCACAAGTCGGCTAGTGCAAAACAACAACAATCAAAATCAGACGGCAAGCTGTGCATCAGTATTTCAAGCAAACTACTGGATATCCGCAAACAAGGTGCCCTCTTCTGCCTTTCAAGACAAAGAGATCGTTTTTCTTTTCGCTGAAGTTTGTTTGTTGCTACAGTGGTCCTGCCAAGTCGGTGGAGTAGATGAGTTCCCTGCCGTGAAGAATGCGGAAGATGTCAGCAGGTCTCCAGTGAGCTAGTCTCTTGTAGCTTCGTGACTGTCGTTCAGTCAAGTATGCAAACAAATTTGGTGCGACCCTTTCAAGGCGAGTCAAGAACAGCAGACCTACAGCTGCTCGGTCTACAGTCAAGAAACTTTCGTGTTTCTCTAATTCTTTGCAGGCGCTTGAAGCCATGACTTCAAAAGCTTTCTATGACATGCAAGCCAATTGGCGCGTGAAGTCTGTATGTGTTGGTAAACGATTGCTGTGTGATACCCTGGCACGGAGCTGATTCAAGAGCTCTCTCGACTGAACAGGAGGCAAAGGGGTACTGAGTCTACTAGTGATCTCATCATTTTCCGCGCTTGTTGCCCTTGCTTTGTGCCATTTCTGCAGCACCAAAATGAAGGTATGCACCTTGCTAAAAGAGGCTGCATTCTGAACTGATTGTCTATAGCTTATGTTGATTCCTGGCTTGTTCTCTTCACTTCTCAACATCATCGCAGTGATCGCATATGGTGCTGCCATCTCATCGACATACCCTTGGCAGGTGTGATCACGTTTTGCAATTTTTGAACTCTTTCTCCTCACGAGCTTGGAAGGAGCTCAACTTTCAGGGCCAAGTGAATGCCTATTTCTTTGTACGTTTTCAGTGCGTGTTCCGTTGTGAAGATACTGATGCACTGTGCCAGGGTGCTACAAGCAGCAAATCTGCAGTAGCTCGAGTAGGGTGAGTCGCTGCCACTACGCTTGCTGTGCGTCATTCGATCCTCTTACCCTTACTGGCAGATCTGGGTTTGGAGTAGCGATCGCCAGCGCCGTCATCTCTTTCGTTGGAAGCTTCTGGATTGGTCAGTGCGGCTGTTGATCTGCATGCAAAGGCCTGACATCTTGTTTCAGTGTATGCCAACTACTTTTGGTTGAAGCGCGAATTCGATGTTGAACTCGCTGTCGTACATGGAGCCACGCCATCGGCTCCTGATTCAACGGCAGTCGGCTTGCAGGTCGCAGCACCAGCACCAGCACCAGCCGCAACGCCTGTAGACGTGGAGGCTGCCCTTGGAGAGACCGAGCATTGTACCGAGGAGACTCTGACAGCTGGAGACTCAGCTATTAATCCAGCCAGCGGCAATGCTGGCAGAGTCTGAGAGCAGGAAGCCTTTTGAGGCCTCCAACCAGCGGCTCCTTTTGACTTGCAGTACACCTGACTGCTCTGTATGTGAAGTAAGTGTTCTGGGAGTGAGGGCGGAGCAGGTTGATGCCAAGACGGCGATTGCCTCATCCGATGAGCACAGTGGGAATTGTTGGTGAACAAGCCTCGCCGCGCCGCCAACCCGACGGCCGGCCGGCTGGCGGGTACCGTACAGCAGCCGGCGCACAGCGGCACTTTGCCAGCGGCGGCGGCTGTTGAGTTGCATGAACCGTGAACCGTGCCAGGCTCAGGCTCAGCCGCCGCCGGGCTCAGGCGTGACGGTGAGCGCGGCCTTAAATCGGATTGTTCGGCGGGCAGTGCCACGGTGGCCGCCAAAGCGAGTACCGGGCCGGTCATACTTGTGACACCCGGCCAATCATTCATGATTGCATGGCGCGGCGGTCACGATGGCGGCTTGCGCCAGGCTGAGCGCAGTATCGGAGGCCCGGTCCGACGTTAGCCTTCAATGTGAACGGTCGGACGGTCGCGGCCCGCCGGAACTTCGAAAGTTCCGAGCGACCGGGACTCACCGGGGCCCGGGGCCCGGGGGCCGCGCCGCGCGCCGCCGGGCGCCGCCGGGCGGCCGGCCTCAACTGAGCCTACTAAGCCTGAGTCACTAGTGCTGTAGTTCCGAAGTGCAACCGGCATTAAACTTCACGCAAGTTGAGCTTGGTGAATGGCGGGACCTGAGTCAGAGGCTCAAGGCCGGCGAGCCTGCGTAACTTAAGTTAACAGTTTGCCAATGCCCGGCCCTCGGCCGACTCGGATTGGGCCCGGCCGGCCCCGGCGTCACTGACGATCGGCAGTGGTCACTCAGGCCCGCCTGATTCGAGCCGTTATGGGCGGTTACATGTGCAGGTCACTCAGAGCATCCTCACAGACATGCTAGGCGTCAGGGGAGAGGAAGAGGCAGGAGGAGGAGGATGAAGGAGAGGGGGGGAGGAGAGGAGGCAGGAAGAAGAAGAGCAAGAGGAGAAGGGAAGGGGAATATTGGGAGCTGACGAATAAGACTCATAGGAGCAGAAGATGAATGGGAGGAGGGAGCAAAGGCAGAGGACTGGAGGGAGGGGAGGATCCAGAGAGGAAGGAGTGCAGGGAACAAGAAGAGGGGCAAAATGTCAGGCGAAGAACCTGGTGGCAAGAGAGGAGGAGGAGGGGAGCTGTTCTGATCGGCGTGCTCGAAACAACACAGGAGGTTGACAGGAAGATTAGTTGGAGCAGGGAGTTGACGGTCAAGGAAGTTGTAGATAGAGGGGTTCAGGGAGCGAGCGAGCATCCGAGAATGATCTCGTAGCCAGAGCTTCATTGCCATGGGTCTGGTAATGCAATCATGAGATCAGAAGACTGTAAGGAAGCGGGCCAATCTGGTTCCAATAGTGCGTAGGGAGGCTATAGCGCTCCGCCGCTGTGATCTGACCTGTCATGCTCGCTAGACTCTTGAGGTGGTCGAGATGGCATCAACTGACGTCGAGATGCGAGTTGACATCGATCCTGATCGTCGGTGGGAGGATCTGTATCGCCTGCTCTCCCGACCAGGTGAGGCAACGCTGGCAGCAAGGACACGACTGATCCTGGGCCGTCCTAGGTCCGAGCGCGGGCCCGAACTTCTTTCCTGGCGATGAGACCAAGGAGCTCCTGCACAACCTGATCCGAGTGCTTGTGGTTGGAGCTGGAGGGCTGGGATGCGAGCTGCTGAAAGATCTCACCCTCCTTGGCTTTCTCAACATCGACGTGATCGATATGGACACGATTGAGGTCACCAACTTGAACCGTCAGTTCCTGTTCAGAAAGTGCGACGTGGGTCAGTCCAAGGCCGTTGTGGCAGCCAACTTCATCAACAAGCGCGTCCCCGGCGCCAGCGTCACCCCGCACTTCTGCAAGATCCAGGAGAAGGACGCTGACTTTTACCAGCAGTTCCAGATTATCGTCCTCGGGCTGGACTCGCTGGAGGCGAGGAGGTGGATGAATGACATGGTCTGCAGCCTCGCGCAGTTCGACGATGACGGGAACATAGAGCCAGGCACCAACATCCCGATGGTCGACGGAGGGACGGAGGGTCTTGCCGGCCACGTCAATGTTATCTACCCCTTCGTGACTCCCTGCTTCGAGTGCATCCTCCCCCTCTTCCCCCCTCAGGTCAACTTCCCCATGTGCACCCTCGCCGACATCCCGCGCACCCCCGCGCACTGTGTGGAGTGGGCGAAGCAGCTGGAGTGGGACCGTGTGAGGCCTTTCGGTGACGACACCGACCTCGAGTGCGACGACCCCAAGCACATGCAGTGGCTCTACGAGACGGCGCTGAAACGAGCACAGCAGTTCGGGATCGAGGGGGTGACGCTCAAGTTCACCCAGGGCGTTGCCAAGAGGATCATTCCAGCCATCGCTGCCACTAACGCCATCGTCGCTGCGGCCTGTGCAAACGAAGTTCTCAAGCTTGCGACTGCGGTGTCGAGGCACATGAGCACGGAGAGTGGAGGGCACTATATGATGTACCAGGGAGGAGACGCGATCTACACCAACACACTCTCTCACGAGAGGAAGGATGACTGTCCTGTCTGCGGACGGAAGGCGGTGAAGATCCATGTGCATGAGGACATCACCGTCGCTCAGCTCATCGAGCTGATGAAGGAAGACTCGCGGCTGCGGCTCAAGAACCCGGCGATCTCAGTTCCGGCGGACACAACTTCCGGCATGAAGACCATCTACAACCCTCATGTGAAGAGCATCTACGAGAGGACGCGGGAGAACTTGGACCATCCCATTAGCTCGTGGATCCGATCGAGCGGAGTTGAGCTAACGGTAGACGATCCTGTGATGGCAACTCAGAAACAAGTCCTCGTGATGTTCTCTTAAGGGTGTCAAAGGAAGAGGTCTTCGCATATGTAAGAACATCTTGTAAAGGATGAGAACTCCTGCCTGCTTCCATCACAACATGTAGGTTGACTCAGTCGTCATCATCGTCCAAGAAGAAAGTTCCGAATAGCGATGATTCGAGGATGTGCCTGCCATAACGCATGAGCTCCGGTGTGCGCACAGGACGGCTCACTTCATGTATTCGTATGTGACCCAGCAGACTGCCGCCCCCGGAGCTTGATAGAGCATCTTTCGTAGGACCGCATCAGCTCAACCCATTTCCCCGCCCTCAACTCACTCTTGCTCCAACTCCTCTTAGGAATCCTCGTACGCCCTCAGTCTTCATCAGATGCTGAACAACCTGCAAGGCTTCTCAGTCTCCTTCCTCCCTCTCAAGCGTCACCTGTCGTGGGCCCGAGAACTCCATCTTCTTTTCTCCACTCATTTCGTAACTCGTGACCTGATCCAGTCGATCGGATCCAACGTCAGACTTCAAAGTCATTCCAAGTGCTTCCGTCACCTGCGTTTGCAATCTTGTCTTGATGACGTCGAGGGGGTTCGAGCAAGCTGCAGCAATAGCGCCTGCCATGCCTCCGGCCACGCAATGGACCTTGAGAGAAGGTCAGGAACCTCCGCAGGATCATCAGCTTCAAAAGAACCTGAGGGTTGAAAGTTCCTTCGTCGAGATTTGTTGCAATATGAGGAGCGATGGTTTTCTTGACCTGCGCTTGCTCGTTTAGTTCGGGGCATCACCACGATTGCTGATCACTTTTTCATAGGTTGCAAAGTATACGGCAAAGACGGGAATGTTCATCGCCACGGTGGTGGGGTAAGAAAGGTAAAACTGCCTTACTCCTCCCTCTCTGTCGTCACGAATCAACCCAGTCAAAGAACAGCAATGGAGCATCCATGAGTATTCACTTGTAAATGTTCTGGATGCACTCGAACAGTCTGTCTCCGTACATCTTCCTGGAGCCGTAGAGCTGCATCCTCTGCTTCACCACGTCCACAGGCGTGGAGATCCTGAGAACCGGAGTGAGCGACTCGCCCAAACCTCCGACGCTTCTCACCCATCGTGAACGAGAGTAGCCGCAGATCCAGACATCATGTCAGCTACCATGTGCTGAAGATGACTGCTTCCCTTTGGTGCTGCTCTCAGAACACCCACAACTCTCTCCTCTCCTTACTCGTCCAGACGACGTGTGCGAGCCTCCCAGTCGCTGCTTTGCCGCCTCGTAAACAGCGAAATGCATGGCATGTCCTACGAAACCCTTTATGGCATGTACACCCCCCCACATGCCACAAGACCTGGAATAGCGCCCAAGAGAACTGCACCAACCCCTCGATAAATCCCAAAGACGCCTTCGTTCTTGAGGATGAGCGATAGAGCGTTGTAGACCCCGCCGTACTGCGGCTGGTGTCTGCTGGCAGTGACTTGCATCCGAGTCTTGATCGTATCAGCTGGGTACATGATCGCATGCTCCGACATGCCCGCTATGCTGCCAGCAACCATGTGGCCCATGTAGTTCAATCCGTCCTCCCCATACTCCCCTTCTTCGGCATGCGGAATCACTATTCGACGTTCGCTTGCTGCTCCCATGGTAGCACTGGTGGACTTCGAAACGTCCTTGCGACGGAGCATTTCAGGTGTTGTTCTTGATCTCTCGCACATGCGGCGATAAAAGAAATGATAATCAGTCATGCCTGTCTTCTTCCAAGCCCCTGAATCCTACTCAATCTGCAACTGAAAAGGATTTTAGGAAGAAGACAGGTGAGCCTGGTTCAGAGGAGGTGAACAACTGCCTACGAATAACAGGGACAATACATGTCTCACACTAGCTAGCTGAATCATTACACGGGACTATAAGCATCTTTGGAAATCAGTTGGGAGCACGAGGTGTGGCGAGAGAGGTCGAAGGCCAAGCAAACGATTTGCAGAGATGCAAAGATGACCATTAAAAGGTCCAAGCATGCAAGTATGACTTCAAGTTCGAGGGGGAAAGGATGGTAAGAGTGTACTGACGATGAGGAGACGGTTTCGAACAACCACGAGGGAGACAACAGCGAGGGAAGCGGGTTGTACAAGTTAATGAGGCATAGATGAAAAGATTGGACTGGAGTTGGGGTCCAAGTTCGTAGAGCAACAGGTGGGAGGAGGAGGAGGTTGCGAAGAGCGGGGTCGGGCAAGAAGTCGCACGGCAAGGGGAAGAGGTGGTATGGCGGCGTAGCGAACCTGAACGTGCATGGCTGCAGAGGGCGAGTTTGGGGTAGGGGGTATTAGCTTACAGGGGTAGGGTACCTAGCACAAACCGGTGGTGAATGGTCCAACTTAAGGTAGTCACAGCAAGTGGTCTACGATAAGCAGGTGGGGGTGGTGATCAATTTATACATAAGGGTTACAGGCCCTCTTACCCAGCTAGGGGTGGGGTCATACAAAGAACGATTGAGGTGGCGGGTATCCATCTAATGTATAGAGGTGGGGTTGGTTGGCTATGACGATTTGTGGGGGTAGAACATGTTTGGGAGGGGTAGGGTAATATGTAGGTGGGGTGGGGATCTAGGAGTGTGGGTAGGGGGGTGGTCTCCGCGTGTAGTAGATCCCTTTGAGGATTTACTCAACAACACTGATTGCAATGGAACCTGAAATGCTAGCAGATGTTGATGCTGATGCGGCTGCTGCTGCTACTGAGTACGTTCATCGTGATCAAGCTGTTTCTCATCCTCGATTACACTGTTTTCCTCAAGTCGTGTCTGATACCCATCCTCTTCCCTTCGCTTCATATCATAATCACATTAATCTAAAGTTTGATCCTCCGACTCTACTGCCTGATACTGTTGATGATGCTACATTTACCATGCGATGGACGATCACCATTTTTCCAGAACCACCTCTGCCTTATCGGGTTCTCATCTTCCTCATCATTACTCGATCACGTTCTTCCCCTGACTTTGTCCCTTCCTCCTTCGCTGATTCAACTTGCATGCTTCCTTTGCATGATGAAGTCATGTAGCTCACGTGGATCGTGCTCCAACCCTTCCAGCTCGTCTTGAGCTGTTCGAGCGTGTACTCTTCCCATGATGTAGCTTGCTAGTTGCACTAATGTTGTTGGCGGCTGCTTCTTGGTGAAATTGTTCGTTTCCTGTTGCATTTGTTCTCCTCTTCCTCTCAAGGTTTCTCTTGAAGCGATCGTGTTCCTTCTTCTGTCCTTTGTCGTCGCTGAGAATCCCTGCTCCTGATCCATTTGTTATGCATTCTTGCCTAGTGCTCTTCTACTGCCTGTTGACTTGCTCCCGTTCCTCGTCGGTGCTGAGCCGAAACAGTGCTGAAGACTTGAGTGCCATGCTGGCAGGACTCGACACTGCCGTGCCTGCAACTCTCTTTAGCTGAAGATTCGACTGTTCTTGCCCAACTGTTGTACTAACGTCATGTAGTACCATAGTTCTTCAGCCTCAATGAATTCAAACGCACCCGCAAGCCGCCTTATGATCCGAGTCAGCCCTCAGCCTGCCATAAAGTTCCGAGGCTTGCAACTCAATCGCCCCCGGGCCGGGCCCGACCAGCCGCCTTCAACCGTCACTATCGCGCACGGTACCGTCCCGTACCCCCCCGGGCCCCCGGTTCAGAAAGAAATGGACCGGTTGAAATTTCAAGATCATGACGTCGTAATGTTCCCAGTGCACTCAGTACTACCGTAACACGGTCGGAAGACCCACCCCGCCCCCACATGAGGCGTGGTATGCGTGGATTTGAATCTACCACCCTCACCGCGAAACGTTTTAGAGCTCCAAGGTCAATTGAGAAAGGCAACGCTATGGAGTCACCGGAGTGTCGGTGGCACCGTACCGTACGGTACGGTGATACGCCGGTACGGTACGCCCCGGTATACCGACGGTATGATCATGATGACTCATGATACCGTACTACCGTGACCGTGACGCGGTAGTACTACTCCGTATGGCGCCGGGCGCCCGGCCAGAGTCCTGCCCGGCTATAGGTCAGTGAGGCTACTCACTGGATAATACGCTGCCCCGGCCGGGGGCCGCGGGCCGGGCACCGTAATCAGGAGAGGAGACTCTGTGAGGCACTCTACTAGTGTGGTGCTCGTACCTCACGGTTTACTCAAAGTTAAGTTAAAAAACTCAGTACTGAGTCAAACGGTCACACTGCCAGTCAGCCGCCACCGGCCGGGCGCCGCCCGTCGGTCTGACCGACGAGTCGAGGGAACTTGGCATCCGGGAATATGGGTGACCACTCTCCATAGAGGGAAGGCGACAAATGGCTAGGGGCGCGCGAAATGAGCTCCCCGAAAATGCCGAGGCAGAAAGATGCGAAAGAGGGATGAGGAGGAGGAGGAGGAGGAGGAGGAGGAGGAGGAGTGAGATGAGGTAGGGAACTACTTCAGCAGAGGAGGACGGCAAAAGACAAGGAAGAAGATGTACAGGAGGAAGACGCTGAGGGTGGGTGAGCAAAAGGGTGGCTGCTGCAAAGCACTTCAAAGACTTCGCTGTAGCTGGAATCATGAGAGGGAGGGAGGGAGGGAGGGAGCAGATAGGGCAGGAAGAGGACCTTGGTTGGACTGACTGTGTTGGGGAAGGGGGAGGGACGTGAAAGGCCCCAGAGGTCTGCAAGCTGATAAGGGTTTTCCTCACAGGAACAAGATGAGTTCGATCAGCCGTCGCTCCATCGACAGCCTGCGGGAAGAGATGAGGAGGCATCAGTCTGTGCTGCTGGCTTCTCCTCTCTGCAAGCGCGACATACAGCAGATCATCCGGCTCAAGGCAGACAAGATCTGCGAGGAGGAGGTCTGTGCAAAGGTGGGCTGCAGTAGGGAGGAGGTGCTTGCAGCGCAGTGGGAGCCCCAGGGAAGGAACTCGTATAAGCTTTTTGGACTGGACAAGGGGAAGCTCGGCTCGGCGGCCTTGAAGGAGATGGGAATGTCATGGGCGGCATTCAAAGCCACGGAAGAGTACAAGATCTACGAGGAGATCGCCAGCTCGGAGAAGGAGGCGGAGGAGACGGTCAGTGAAGAGTGGGCAACCTTCTTAGAAGGTAGATGATACTTGCTGGCTGCTATTTAGCTGACTCCTGGGACTGCCAGAGTTCCTTGAATCCAGGGTTGTTGAGTTGGAGACCAGAGAGGACAGAAAACGGAAAAGGATCGTGGAGGCTGCCAAGGCCAAGGTGAAGAAGCCAGCGCTGAAGCCTCCTGCAGCAGAAGAGCCGCACAAGTCAAAGACTCGCATCCATAACGAAGCTGTGCTTGCCTTTGCCGTTGAGTTCAAACGAAGGAGGTCAAGATGGCTGGATAAGAACTGGGAGTGTGTCGCTCCCTTTCTGCCCGCAGAGTCGCGATCGAAGGAGAGCAACTTTGCGAGGAAGCTGATAGGGGACGCTGTTCCTTCCCCACTGGATACGAACCAGCAGAAGGAGCAGAAGCAGCCGGCAAGCATTGTTGGACTTAGTTTGTTCCCATACCAGCTGGAAGGACTGCAATGGCTTGTCAGGATGAACGACAACGGGGTTGGTATGATCTTAGGAGACGAGATGGGACTGGGAAAGACCATCCAGACAATCTCACTGCTCGCAGTGCTCGCAGAGAGGAAGGAGACCAAGGGGACGCATCTCGTAGTTTGTCCTCTCTCTGTGCTGGGGACCTGGGAAAGTGAGTTCCGTCGTTGGTGCCCCTCGCTCAACGTCCGGGTCCTGCACGGAGCGAAACCGTGCCGGGACAAGGTGTTAGAAGGCCTCAGGAATGAGGAGGGAGGAACGTGCGACGTCATGATCACAACTTATGAGATGATGGTAGCGGAAGGCAGAAGGTTCGCGTGTTGGAGTGAGAGCGCGCGACCACGGTTCTGACTTGGTTGCCCTCGGCAGGATCGGCATGACAGTGTATCACTACTTGATCCTGGATGAAGCCCACAAGATCAAGAACGACAATTCGCTCGCCTTCCATGCTGTCAGGTGTCACTAGCTCTTGATTCCAACCTCCTCGCCCATCTCTGCTCCCTCTCGTGTCTTCTGCCCTGTCCCCTCTCACCTTACTGTGCTCTCTCCCAGTCTTTGCCATGTCTCCCACGTCTCATGAACAAAGCTCACATCTCATCTTCTTGTTCTTCGTTGACCTCGCCTCACCTTGCAGCAACATTCGATCCGTCAACAAGATTCTTCTGACCGGGACGCCCCTCCAGAACAACATGCACGAGCTGTGGGTCCTCGTCAACTTCTTGTTTCCCGACCTCTTCGCAGACGCAGAGCTCTTCGATGCTGCTTTCTCCAGCACGTGGGAGGGCGTCAAGTTCGACTTCGAGCTCATGCGAGCCGCACACAAGCTGCTGCAGCCGCTCATGTTGAGGAGATTGAAGAAGGATGTTCAGCAGGCCCTGCCGAAGAAGACGGTCTACACCATCTGGTGCCCCCTGACCAGCATGCAGAAGTTCTGGTACAAGCAGTTCCTCCTCTTGAACCAAGGCTCCATCGCGCACCTCAAGGATGCTCGAATCAGCTCCAGCAGCATGCAGAGCTTGATGAACCTGCTGATGCAGCTCAGGAAGGTCTGCTGCCATCCCTACCTCTTCCCCGACGCCGAGACAGACCCGACGAGCACGGACGCGAACATCGTCACCAACTCTACCAAGATGATGGTCCTCCACCGCCTCATCGACAAGCTGCACGCTCAAGGCCGCAAGCTCCTGGTCTACTCGCAGTTCACTCGCATGCTCGATGTCATCCAGGACTACTGCGAACTGGTGGGCCACAAGTACCTCAGGCTCGACGGAAGCACCGCGTCTTGCAGGAGGAAGTACGAGATCCAGCTCTTCAACAGCGGCAAGTCGCACGCCTACGTCTACCTCCTCTCCACGCGCTCTGGGGCTCTCGGCATCACCTTAACAGGAGCAGATACTGTGGTGATGATGGACTCTGACTGGAACCCGACCTGGGACAAGCAGGCGCAGGATCGGGTGCATCGGATCGGGCAGAAGAGGGAGGTTACGATCTACCAGCTGCTAGCCGCGAACACGGTTGAAGAGCGGATCTTTCAACGTGCTCAGCAGAAGGTGGCGCTAAATCAGATCGTGCTGCAAGACGACTTCTGCTTCCCCGAGGACGATCCTGACCACTCGTTGACCAAGGGGAGGGTGAGAGATGTGTTGAGCTGTGGGGTGAAGCAGGTGCTGCTGGCTGACTGCTCGAGCGAGCGGCCGCTGACGATGAAGGACATCGATAAGATGATTGAGGACACCCACAACAAGCAAGGGAAGCTGGAGGAGCGACCTCCCCCCGAGGATATCCTTGACACCAAACTGTGGGAGACTCGCTCGTTCGAGGGGAAGAAGTTCACCAGTAAAGAATGCCTGAAGAACATCGCTGAGAAATGGTTTCTCCATCAGTCTCGGGAGGTGTCCAAGAGAAAGTCCGTGCCCACTACCGTGCAGGTCGATGGTTTCCCTGTGAAGATCGTCAACCGGTGAGATGAGAAGCTCATGAGGAGGAGAGTGGAGGAGGTAACGAGCTGGTGGCAGGTCGATGCCGAACGAGAAGAGCAGCCAGCCCAGCAAGCAGAAGAAAATTCTCGTTTTTGACGACTTCTGCGTCAAATGCAGGAAGAAGAGTGGAGATCTCGTGCAGTGCTCGCTGATGGGATGCTTTCGCCGTAAGATGGAGGGTGGGGATGTGCGGGCGACATGGAGAGGAGGGAGAGCAGGGAGGGTCAGCAGGAGGAGCAGAAGCAGAGGATTCTGACCGCTGGCAACTTTCTGACGCTCGTAACTCAACAGAAGTTCATCGCAAGTGTGGGATATGCACAGTCACCTCTGTGTCTTGCCCTCAACATCGCTGCTCCGTCTGTTCTTGCAACGGTGAAGTCTCAGAGCTTGGCTGGAAACTCGCTGACGATCATCCTTGCTGGCAGCCGTCATGAAAGGATCGCTTCTCTTCCGCTGCAACCTCTGCCCGGTGCTGTCGTGCGAGCTGGTGTCGCGGGCATGCTCTGACTGCTAAGCCCCAGCGTGTCTTCTGTTATGATCACCTGCCCTCCGATTTTCATCCCCTCGACTGGAACGACATCTGTGCCGAGGTCGCTGAGCCTGCTGTTCGACTCGACTGAAGGCCTGGCAGCGCGGGGAGATCGCTCGGTCGGCGGAGTATATCATCTGCGATCAGTGCTCTGACAAGCACCCCGAGGCGATACGTGAGACGTCTTGACTTGACCTGCGACCCAGTTGCTGCCGAGCTGACCCCTCAGCAGAACGGATGGACGCGAAGGCGGGCCAGAAGCAGGTTGCCCACGAGATCATAGACCTCACTGGGATAGAGGACGAGAGCGACTCGTGCTCTATACCAGACACAGACATGGAAGGACACCATGCGCGAAGCTGTACGCTGGAAGACGAGGACACCAGTAGAGACAGCTTCGCTGGACGAGACGTCGATGAATGCTCTGAGGATTCAAGTCGAGACAAGGACCTGGGCCAGGAGGAGAAAGTAGAAGAGGAGGAGGAGGAGGAGGAGGAGGAGGAGGAGGAGGAGGAGGAGGAGAGTGATGTTGAGGAGCTTGAGTAAGTATGAAAAGGCGTAACTGTCTCTTTCCCCGTTTATTTCATTGTTTAGTTTCCGGATGTGCTCTTGGGGTAGCGGGTGGTGGGGTAGGTGTAGCCGAGCTGCTCGCGGGTGAAGGCAGCGGCCTGGTACTCGGGCACCTTGATGCCGATGAGCTCGACCTTGACGAGCATCTCGTCGTCGGTGGTGCCAGCCTTGGGTCCCTTGTACTCAACTCCGCCTGAGATTCTCGTCAGTTCCAAGGTGGCACTTGCTCAGGATGTACCGCGATCGCAGCCACGGGCATCGAAGATGGTGATCATGGGAGCGAAGTTCTTACCCTGCAGGCACAGTCATGCACAAACATCCTGCATGCCCTTGCAAACTGACCTTGGGGGCTCCGTTCTTGCCGACTCCGACAATGGAGGTTCCGAGGAGACCGTTGGCGGTCTTGGTGGCAATGCCGTTCTGTCCAGAGAAGGTGTTGCTGGGTCCCTCGCCGATGGCGTTGGCAGCCATGGGGGCAGCGAGGGCAGCGAGGGCGGCACCCTCCAAGACGGAGCGGCGGGAAACCTGCTCGGCCTGCATGTTCATGGCAGAAGCACCGGAGCGCTGGGCCCTCAAGGGCATCGCGGTGGGGGCGAAAGCGGAAGCCGATCCGGCAAGGACGGCGACGGCAGCGAGAGTCTTAGCCATGAACCTGAGGAGACGGTTATGAACAGGACGACGAGAGCCCCACATCGAGAATGAAGAACAGAATCAACAAGTCGATACACGACGGAAATTCGACCAAATCCAGCAGAACATGGCAGAAGCAATGGTATCTTGGACGTTAACAAACGTACCATAAGAACGGAACACAGGAAAACGAAAGTGGGTCAAGAGAACAAAAATGTTCGACAGGGCTGATGATTATGCGAAGAAGATGCAGATGGAAATCATCACAATAAGATTTTCCAAGGCCCCACGTGTCTTTCAGTGAGTGGCTTCGAGAGAACAGCAAGAGGATCGAGGGGAAATGCAAGAAAACAGAAAACAGAATGACTTGAGAGCCGGTGTTCAGAGTACACCAGGTCAGGAGGAGGAGCAGAAAATGAGAGGCAGGAGGAGGAAGAGGAGGAGGATATTATCAACATCAACTCAAAAGTCAAAATCATATCATCGTCAATAAGATCGCAAGGTACATCTCCTCGCCGCCATTTCTTACATGTTCTCCTCTTGGTATCGCTGCTGCTTCACCCTCAACAAATATGACGCGATTCCCCCCACCCCCACACTCCCTACCCCAGCTTCGTATGACCCTACCCAATTTTTGATAGTACACAAGACATAAATCAAGGGGTAACATTGATACCCTACCACTACACTGGGCTGTATTCCTACCCCGGTTGTCTACCCACCCGTCAATTACCACCCACCGTACCCACAACAAATACCTGGACCCTACCCTATTCGGAATTTCATCTTTCTCGTTCATACCACCCCTCCTTGGTGCTCGATCACCCTACCCTTGTTTTCTCGTTGTCAGAGATCTCATATCCGGGGCCCTTAGTTCAGTGCCGTCCGATGGAGTCCCCGGGCGAAGTTCCCGAGCCCGACGGGCCCGGGCCCCGGCCGCCGGGGCCGTGATCACCGGGGACTCAGACCGCCGGTACCGTACTGACCACCGTCACAGCCAGTGTCTCTCATGGGGCGAGTCGGCAGGGCGAGCCGTTCAGTCTGTGACGAGGCTGCTGAACTTGGAAATTCACTGGCCTCACTCGGGCACAGCCTGCCAGGCTCGGTAATCACTGGCCCGGCTGCCGACCGTCTCACGGCAGTGAACGAGTCACTGACCGTATCGGCCCGGTGACAGTGAGTTGATCGGATCGGGTGACTTTCAAACTAATCATAGTACACTGTCTAACAAACTTGTGCCAGGCTCCGTCAACGGACAGTCCCTCAGCGGAGCCTCGCGGTTCGCCGAAGCGGCCGGCGTACTTTCGCCGGGTCGGACTCCGTCGGCGTGAGCCTCGGAGAGGCGGGACTCATGAATCGGGCCCTGGCAGTCCTGAGACCTCCGAGTCCGACTGGCACCGTGTGACCGTGCGGCCGCGCGGCCGCGACGGTGACGGTGGACACTGACGGTGCCGGGCCTGGGCCCTTCAGCACCAGAAATATCGGACGTTACAAGTTGTGTAACGGCTACTACCTGTGCGGCCCTCAGTGCATCCTTGCAAAAGGGCATGGGACTCATGGACTGATCCAACGAAAGTTGGCTGAAATATCTAAAAACTAATATAATGTTGAAAATATTATGGAATAAACTTTCAAAGTTTGACTGATATTTTGAAATTTATTCCAATATTTAGAGTATCAAAATTGTAGCTCACGCCAATTGACTCTGAATTGAAGGCAAGAGTCGCAATGGACTTGGGAAGGGCAGAAATAGAAAGAGCGCAGACGAAGCCGCAAGCCAAAAAGAGAAGACAAGACGAACATGGGAGGAGGAAGACAGAAATGTCGTCGTGATGCAGCCATGTGCAAGGTCTCCTTTTGGAACAGATAGAGAGATTCGCAAGAGGAAGCCATGAATAGACTGTGACGGAGCCCTTGTGATAGACCTGCCATTGTATGCTTCATACAAGATGAGTGTAAGGTAGACGAGCTCTACCAGTGATGGTCGGGCATGTCACAGGAGAGCTCCTAACGATTATGTCGCGTGCCACACCCCTTGCAGAGAATGACCTTGTATGCTCCATGGCAATGAGAGTCAGGCTGCAATCACATGCTTACCAAGTGATTTCTTGTATCACAGGCGAACGAGCCATGCTTGCGTTCATTCTACTTATGGCAATGGGGTACTGCTGCCAATCTATCTCCGTTCTTCGATCCATTCATTGAGCGTTTTCCAGTTGCTACATCGATCTGGTGGCTGGGAGCATGGAAAGTGGTAACCAGAGGACGTGGCATTGGTGGTGTATGATTGGATTTTCAGACCGTCTGATCAGCTCAAAAATGACGGGATTGAGAGGAGGGTTCGGCCCGACAAATGCAGGAGCGATGCCAAAGATGTATCAACAAGCGCAAAAGTGGGCATGGTTGATCGCGACTGCTTGCATATTTCTAAAGATTTTCGCCGTTTACAGGTCGGATAACCTCCAGAGCTCGAAGCTCACAAGAATCTCATGGAAGAAATTGAATCCAGCGGAGACTTATGACTCTGTTGAGGTGCACCCATGATCTCGAACGAAACCTTGGTATGTGACGCTTGTCCAGGTGGCAGGATCTTGGTCGGGCTTTGGAACTCGCCATGCGTTGTACGTCTATTTGAAATCAATTGTTCTTGTGACTTTGCGTCCATCAGGAAGAGAACCAGGGACGGAGGTTCTTGGGACGTGCAACTGGAGCTTCCCAAGGGAGAACATCAGGTTGTACTTGGGTGCGTGGATTCAATTATGTGAAAAGATTCTATCTTGCAGTTCAAGTTCATCCTCAATGGCAACGAGTAATTTCTCTTTCAATCAACATCAAGACATGTAAACCTAGAACAGGTGGAAATGCCACCCAGAGCTCCAGCTATCCTCAGATGGGCGTGGAAACCAGAACAACCTGATTCTTGTAAACCCTTCTCTTGATTCCCAAGAAGCGCAGGTCTCGCTCACAGTTGCTGACGGCAAGTGCTAATGTGGATTCATGCACGTTAGATGCGTAAGGAGATGCAAGTCCTCCCCTCCAAAGACAACATTCAAATCACCACTGAAATGGTGTGTTAGAGAATGCCGCATGCGTTGGTTCGCCTGAAAAAGTTCGCTCTCATGATAGGTCGCTTTTCTCGAGAGGCAGACAAAGTCAGCCTTGGAGGACACCAAGAGTGGCTACTCTCAATGTGTGGATGCTCTGTGAGTAGCAAACTCCCCCTGCCGTTAGATGACAGCCTTGGGAAAGTGTCGATGAGTTGGGTGACGCTCTCAACGCCCTCAAGAGGGGCAAGAGACACATCGCCAAGATCTACAAGAGGTCAGTTTCATCTCCTCCAAGACCTCTGACGGCAACCGCTGATGAATTTCTCGGTAGTTGTCTGAAGGGGATTGATAGCCTCAAGGCTGCGGCCACAAGCAAGTCAAACGACATCAAGGTGCTTGAGCCACTTCAAGGCAGCATCCTGTTTCTGAGAGAGAATCAGGAGCAAGTTGACAGGCTACGAAGCGTCCTTGATAACAAAGAGACTCAAGCAGTCCAATGCATCAAAGACGAGATGCAGAAAGTCAGTCACAGTTTGTTTAGTAACGAGGGCCTTCACTAACGCTCATGCAGAGAACTTCGACCCTCCGGGAAGACGTGGGAGGGTTCGCACAAAAGAGCTCAGCGATTGATGTATCTTTCATGTAAACGTATGATATGACCCTGAGTGACATGAATGTGGCAGGCCCTTATGGCAGAAATCCAGACCGTTTTGAAGGACGCTGACAGTGATTTGGAGTTGTTTTACTCCAAGGTGCCTTTTCAACTCTAAAAAAAACCTGCTTCGATGCTTCGATGCTGAATGCTTGGATTGACAGGCAGTTTCTCTTCTTGACAAGATAAAGGACGTGTCTAATTGCAACGAGGCATGGTTGGAAACGTCCCTCGTTACTTTTCCGAGCTCTGACCATTGCCGACAGGAGTTTCTCAGAGGCTCTGGCTGATTTTGAGGGATTGAAGCTGGACCTGATGCCCGAGTAAAATTGATGTCTGTGTTGTCCCCATGTGCTGAATGAGCCGCGTTGGGCTCCTCGCCCGCTGCCGGCCCTCACTTTCTGACCACATGTACCTTGAACCCTCCGGCGCTTCCTTGCAAGTCTTGGATGGCGACATCTCGGACTCGCGGGATGACCTGCAAGGAGCGACTGAGCCTCTCTGACTGCCCCGGTCTTCCTGCCTACCTGCCGCGGGTACGAGAGCCACACGTCATGCGCTATTGGGTCGAGCCCGTGGGTTGGCAGGAAGCTGTAGAGTGCCTGATGGATCCTGTCATCGGGAACCCAAAGCGCGATCTCACGAGACCTGCAGCGGGTCTGATGCCCGGAACCTCCTTGTGATCTCTTTCTCAGAAGGAAGACGAAATCTGATCGAGAGTTTCATCATGCAATGCAACTGCTAAGACGGCTGGCTGACCGCACGACGATGCAGTCAGCTGTCGTCGGAGGTTCTTCCAGCAGCTCATAGTCCTCGTCAACATCAGCCTCTGTGCCGGCAGGTGCCTTCTCATGGCTAGTCGGTGCTGTCCCTCGCTGGTCGTCAGGAGAACTTCTCTGCTCTGAGAAAGCATCTGCTGCAGGAGACAATGAGTGCATCTGGCGGCAGCTATCAAGGCATACCAATGCTGTCCTCACGGATTGCACTGCAGGCGGCACAACAGCTTGTTTTCCAGTCTTGCATGAGGATGCTATCACACCACTCGCAACGTTTTATCCTGATTGACGCAATCTCACAACATTTCATCTCCGAAATTCAAAACCGATTGGCCGGAGCCGTCGCCTTTCGCTCGCCTGAAGATATCTTCCTAAGGGGAGTTTCAGAGCTCACGACACGGCTTGTTCACGGATTACATGGACTCTTCAAGCGCCTGCAAGGAGGAGATGTTATTCGATATGAGAGGCCGCTGTCGTTCACCTTCTGAAGTGCAAGCTCCTCGCTATCTGCTTCGTCGGCCAAGTCCTTTTCGAACCGTTCACCTCCACCTCTGAGTCCCGTGCTGTCTCTTCTTACCTTTCCTGCAGAATCTCGCGAACTCCATGCTGCTCTCACTGTCTCCGAAAGATCTTGGTTCCTCTTATTTTCCAGCTGCTCGTTCTTCATACTCTGTGACAACAATGACCACCCCAGGTGTGTGAAGCCACAAGCTACCTTCATCCTTTGGATCTGTTTCTTCATCTCAAGCTTCTCTTTCTCTTTCTTCTTTGCTTCCTCACACAGGAGTGCATGTTGTCGGTCTTTTTCAGCTTGATCGGCACGAATCCTCGCTGAATGCAATCGTCCGAGATTAACCTCACGTGCTCCTCCCCCCAACACCCCTCCTCCGGCAACCACACCTCCATCCCCTTCGACAAGCGTCAGCAACTTGCAGATACTGCCGGTGTGTTACCTCTCCTCTTCTCCTTCTGCTGCGACAGCTTCTCGTCATTCCTCCTCCGGATCTCCATCAGCTCGTTCCTCCTCGCCTCCGATGGGCTGAACCGCTGCACGCCTGGATGAAGTCAGACTCAGCCTCTCCCTCTCACCGCGCCATCCTCTATGTAGATCTCCTCCTCCTCCTCCTCCTCCTCCTCCTCCTCCTCCTCCTGCTGACTCTTACCCCTCAGCGGGTCTTCCTTGCTGTCAGCCATTGCTAGGGAGTCCCGAGTTTGCTGAGACTTTAGGGGTCCGAAAAGCGAATGGGGTACTGATCATTGGGATTAGTGGGGTACTCATAATGATTAAACGAGGGGTACTCCTCAGAATGGGTGGGTGGGCTGAGGTGAGAACGGATACAGAACCGTACAGCAGTGCTGATGCTGGCGGAGGGAGGGGAAGGAGCGAGAGCGGGACATGTTGGTAACCTCAAGACATCTCTATGACCCATCAGGTGTCAGTGTGAGGAACTTGCAGCGTTCATATGAGAGCAAGTTGAAGCGATCGTTTACAGAGAATCAGCTATGTCGTATCAAACATGGCATACACGTTGTGATACATGAAAGAACTAGTCGTTAGATCATCTTTCGTGACGGAAATTGAAAGCAAACAGATCTCCGAGACTTGTCCCGTAGCGCCCGGTCTACCATCAGTGCTCGTTCCCTTCCCGAATAGCATCGAGAGCTCTTTCCTGCATCGACCAGACGTGAGAAGATCCTGTCCACGAGCGCTCTACACTCGCACCTTCACCGAAGGACGAAGTCCTCCATCTTTCACACTCGCACAACCGCTGATCCCCAGCTTCTCGCAACCTGGGACTGCAGCAGCACTTCAGTCCGTCGCACCACCGCAGGCACTGCGTCCTCACCCATCCCCTCCTGCGCTCCTCTCGCCTTCTCTTGCAGATACTTTGAGTTGGAACCTTCCGAGGTCTCACCGTTCATGCCTGATCGCCAAAATCATCAGCACCTCTCGCTCTTCTCCCGCGACTTCTCCAGCACTACCTCCATTCAGCCCTTCAATGGGGTCGCTGCCTTGTACTCTCTTCACGGACTCCTCGGCGACTTCCTCCAGGCCCTTGTCGAACTCGGAGGTCCCTTGTCTCTGCCATCTCTCGCGTCACCTCTCCCGCAGTCCTTCCTCGCGCCCACCTGGTGCTGGATGATGGCCCTCTTGGACAGAGCAGCCGTCACGGACCGTATGCATCCCTTCACCTGCAAGGCAGCAGCTGGTGAGCGCCGACTCCAGGAGGGTCCTACTGCTCACCTGGTCGATCGTCTTTGCCCGTGTGCATCGGCTGTACGCCGTGAGGTGGGGGAGGCCCCACAGTTGACTGCTATGTTCCTTCACCCGGCCCTGTGTGTGCCCAGATAGCAGAGAAAGGAATCTCTCCGCGCACAGCCGCACCTCCCTCTTCAGGCACCGTCAGCATGCGGCGGCTCAACAAGCATGCAAGCTCGACGGACCTGGTTTAGCACGCTCTTCCCGCAGAAGGAGAAGGAGTCTTCTTGACCCTCTCCAAAGTGATTCTCCAGGTCATACTCGTTGGCAAGATCCTACGAAATCGTCACGTTCACGACGGGCGGCTGCGCTGATTGTCACCTTGATCGTCAAGGTTGCGCTACGGAGGGTAAGCTCGTCCTTCTCTCTGCTGCTGGAGGGTGTGCTAGCGGAGCATTTCAGCGGTCGCCGGGGTGAGGGCTGACATAAGGACGTACCTGACGGCAAACAGGACAAGAACCGCCACTAGCATGCCTGCTACTACAGCTCGCCATGGCTGCTTCACTTGCAATGTGCTAGAGGTAGGTACCAGCACCAGCGCATGGAGCGCCTCTTCGTCTCTGCTGCTCATGTTCCCTCCCCTCCCTACCGCACCAGCATTGCTAAATCCGGATGTTCAAGGCAGCCGCCAATTTGGATTGGAGGAAATCGCTAGATTATGATTGATGTCTTGACGTCTTCCTAACATACTTATCTGAGGCAGACTTGTTCCCATCAAAGGTCAGTCAAGGCCGGCACCGGGCCCGGGCCCTCGGAGGTCAGTGACAGTCTTTGTGCAACATTCAAAGACCCAACCCCCGCAAACGAGGGGGTGGGGTGGTAGAGGTACGGGTCTGATGGATGTCCCAAGGAGGGGTAGCACAATGGACGAAGTTCCATGCATAAATGCACGATGGCAGTCGAAGATCAGAGAGAAGAACGAGGCGGCGGCGATGGAGGGCGATGAGGAGATAGAGTTGTCAGGAGGAGCAGGAGGAGCAGGAGGAGCAGGACTCCTGCATCAAGTCCATGCCATGGTTGTCTAGGTGCAGAACATCGAGGATTTTAAGGAGGAAGAAGGAACCCTGCAATGGTAGGATGTCGACCCAGACCTGAACAAGAAGTAGAAGAGACCATCATGATGGTCTTCTCGATGACTGACAGTTCTTCTACGTAGGTTAGCGAATATCATCTTCCAAGCCTCATCGCCACGATGTTTGTTGGGCTTTAGGAGAGTAGACTCGTTCGCCACAACTTTTCCTTTCGTCTAGGGCTGTTGGTGAATCTCGGATGCAACACCGACTTCTCTCGTCAAGGTGTTGTAATCTCTTATCTGCTCTCATCTTCGGGCATCTTTCTCGAAGCGCTTGTTTCTCCAGCAGCAGGTTGCTTCTCAGAACCGCGGGCACACCCAGAAACGCACTTGACCTCAGGTGCAGCGCGAGGAACTTCGCGACTTTGCCCGGCATGGAGACTCTCGCAAAGTTGGGGGAGTGTGCGAGCCACTCGTGGTTGGAGCAGTTAGAAGCAGATCCAGAGACAGAGCTCCATGCTCCCAACAGGAAATCTCGAGAGGTCAAGTCAGGGCATTACGTTAGGGTCCTGCCGACGCCTCTGCCGGATCCCAAGCTGATCATCCACTCAGAGGACATGAGCAAGCACTTGGGGCTGAGCGAGGAGGTTGTGCAGTCGGATCAGTTCGTCAGGTTCTTCAGCGGAGAGCAGTCGCTGGTCCCGGAGCTCGAGTCGTGGTGTACCCCGTACGCTCTTTCCATCATGGGGAATCGGTATACCCACAACTGCCCCTTTGGCACGGGCAACGGATACGGAGACGGGCGAGCGATCAGTATCGGGGAGGTGGTGGTGAACGGAGAGCGCTGGGAGCTGCAGATGAAGGGGTCGGGGACTACTCCTTTCTGTCGGGGAGGCGACGGCCGGGCAGTGCTCCGGTCGTCCATCAGGGAGTTCCTTGCTTCAGAGGCCATGTTCCATCTGCGCGTCCCCACTACCCGCGCCCTCTGCCTCATCAAGAGCGAGACTGAGAAAGCTCGCCGTCCCTGGTACAGCGGAGAGGATCGGATGCCGTCAGAAGATCATCCGAGGCTAGCGAGCCTACCAGCCCACGAGAGGAAGATGTACATGCGGGAGATCGCGTTGAAGCTAGCTGAGCCGGACGTGATGATCCGCGAGTCCTGCGCCATCACAACCCGCGTATCCCCCAGCTTCTTGAGGGTCGGGCATCTCGACCTCTTCGCCAGGAGGGCGGAGGTCGCTCCGACCCCTGACGGGCTGCGTCAGCTTGAGCAGCTCATCTCGCATGCCTTGTTCAGAGAGTATCCTGACGTCTCGCCCGACGCTCCTCTCCCCGCCCGAGCCAAGGAGATGTTGCGAGCAGCTGCTGACAGGTTCGGACGGCTGGTGGCCGACTGGCTTCGTGTTGGTTTCTGTCAGGGCAACTTCAATGCGGACAACTGCCTGGTGGGCGGGAGGACGATGGACTACGGGCCCTTCGGCTTTATCGACTGCTATGACCCTCTCTTTGCCAAGTGGGTTGGCAGCGGAGATCACTATGCCTTCATGAACCAGCCCAACGCGATCCTCGCCAACTTGCAGGTGCGCGGGAGAAGAACTTGCCTCACAGTGTGCTGACCTTGGTGTCTGCCTTTTGTTGCTCTCTGCCGCATTCCTCGTCTCAGACGGTATTTGCCTCACTCTCCTCCTCCTCCCTCACCTTGTTCTAGTTCGCTGTGTCGCTCTCGCCCGTCCTGAGCGGAGGGCTGGACGACGTGCGTGAGGTGTTGACATACGCGAAGCGGTATGCGAGTGTGTACATCAAAAATGAGGTTGACGCGGTTGGGAGCAGCTCTGTTCTTTCATCTGTCCAAGACGTGTGGAGGAGGAAGTTTGGACTGAGGCAGCAGAACGATGAACGTGAGAACTCCCGGAAGCGCTTGCGGAGCTCTGAAACCTCTTGCAGTCGCTCAGGATCTGTTCAACACCTATGAGGACTTGCTCCGCCGCTCGTGCGGCGACTGGACCATCATCTGGAGACAGGTGACTCTCCTCTCTTACCTGCCATCACTCCGTCTCACACCTCCGTCAGCTTGCAGAGGTGGTGCTGGTCGAGGACGGGGCAGGTCGAGCCTCGAGGCTGCTCCAATGAAGTCACGTGACTTGTCGGCAGAGGACGAAAAGCTCCTGGCGCCCCTGCTGGCTGGTTTCTACGAGCCGCTGACGGGTGCACAAGGCTGGAGGTGGAAAGCTTCTCACCCTGCTGTAGACGAGCTGAAGGAGAGCTGGATCAAGTTCCTCAAGCGCTGGAGGTGAAGAAGGCGAGGGAGCCTGCAGCTCGTGACTCAAGTGACAGGAACGAGCTAGCCAACGAGGGAACCACCGCGCAGCAGGCAGCAGAACAGATAAGAAGCGGTGAGATTAGGAGAGAGAGACTAGGGGGGTGGGGGGAGTAGGGGGGGGGGAGAGGGTGAGGAGGAGACTTGCTGATGTTTCACCAGAGAGCCCCATGTTCATCCCACGTGAGTGGATGTTGGTTGAGGTAGGTCAACTGTTAGCGCGCGACGAGCTCATGGCACCTGCAGGCGTACAAGCAAGCTGAAAAAGAAGACTTCTCTCTTGTGCAAGAGGTCAAATCTTCTTCTCCTCCTCCTTCCTCCTCCCTCCTCCCTCCTCCTCCCTCCTCCTCATCATCATCGCCCCATGATCATCACCATCATCACCTTCCATCACCATAACAATCAACCATCACCATCAGCATCATCACCATATCAATATTACATTATCATTTTGGCCGTGGTCATAGTCGTCTGAAGCATCATCGCGTCATCCTCTTGCCTTTTCTTCTTTTCCGGCTTACTTGTCTGCAGCTCCACGAGCTCTTCAAAGATCCATACGGCGTCAACGTGGATCAGGTTCGTCTCCACTTGGGCCTCCTGACGGTGACGGTCAAGTGCCATCGGCAGAGCCTCGTCGACAAGTACTACAAGCTCGCGCCCAAGGAGGCCTTCACCAAGCTGGGCACGGCCTCGATGACCTGTAAGATATGCTCTCCTGCTTTCCTCCAGCTGAAAGTGTGGGCAGGATCTTCGTAGGCAGTTTCCAGCTACAGCACGTGCTCCATGTGCTGGGGCGCAGCTTGAGCCTGCCGAGAAG